CTGCTCCCAATCTAGCGACATTTAAAAAACAAGTTGACGGCGCGTTGTCTCATTTGCATTTCATCCTAGGTCTTGGTAGCCAGGGGCTACAAAACGTAATATAACGGTGTCTTACAAAACTCCCAACCAATGGATTTCTACTTTTAATACGCGGACATATCCGCTATTCTACATAAGTCTATGGTGAGTCCGCTAAAACGCTTTTCACCTTATCATGCAATTTGATTTTCGCAATAATTTCCATCCCACGGGACTGGTTAAGTATTGCTTTTTGACCCTTAATATACCATTGTTCCATTGAATGCCCGATTAGACTTCGGAGTTAGTCATTGTGGTAGGTGTCATGCTACAGTTTTCCACTTGAAGGTCTTTACTGTCAAAATTAGGCTCCAAATATAATAATTTTATACGGTATATTCTAGCAGAAATCTAGGGAGAAGGGTGCCTTAACTCTACAGGGCATCGAAGTACTTAACTGCTTGATTGATAGTAATCAGTTTTAAACCAGGATATTTCCGTTATCCTCACGAGGCATTTTCAGTCTGCGAGTAAAAAATAATGGTTACCCAAAATTCAGCAGTTAAACTACTTTAATGCGCACCCAATCATGCTAGATCTTATTTGTGCCCTCCTGTTAAAACTGAAGAACCACTTTAAAGGACTTCCTTAACTCCCCATACCTATCGCCAAAGCCGAATGGAGATCGCATGCACACAACTGCGTAAGTAGAAAAAATTTGCGGTCATAATTCCGTCAGTCTTTTTGACTCACCAAGAGACAGTGTTCCAATGACAATGTGGTGACTGTTTTGATCTACCGAATGCTCCTCACCTTATTCGAAACATTTGCGTCTTTGGGGTCATATGTGCTACTAAAACGGCAAGGTTAAGCGTACGGACACCACCCAACTTACGGGCTCAGAATTGTAAGGAATTCATTTCTTACAACATCGACCCCATGGTCAAGGACAATCTGGTTAAAATGGTAGCCATTTAAACAGTTGCAGAACACTTAGTAGCGCACAACAGCTTTTAATGCGCTTCTAATGCGACTGTAAAGTGCACACTATTCTTCCGTTGTTATTCTTGCCACACTAAACTCAGGCTAGAATCGTTTGTATTTCCAATTATATCGCAACGTCCGGCACACTAATGAAGAGGTTTCGTGATGGCGCTGAAGAAGAGAATCGAAAGGCAAGTGGACGTGAGCGGGATTTCACCAATAATTCAGCACGCACTATTATTCATCACGATCACGACAGCAGTACATCAGTCATATGAACTGATGCTTCGCTGCCATACAACCATGAGGACCTATGAAATAAAGAATAAGAAGAGGGAGAGAAGGGCGGACTTACCTGAAAACCTTAATGCCCTAAGCAAACATGTAGGGTCAAGGCGCCTACACCTTGTGCCAACAACATACCGTCACAAACAGCCGGCTATCGTGCAAAGATAAGGCGGCATCGGCGAAATAGCTTCCTTGCGGCTTTCACTGCCACGCGTCATAATCAGCCATTATCCCACAGATAACTCAGCACCAAACACACTTTAAACAGGCAATCCGATTAGGAGACGGCAGCAGACGCGCCACTGGTGTCGGCTGCGAGCCATGTCCTGTAAAGTCTCGAGCCAAGCACAAGGTGAGTCACGTGGACTCCAACCCGGAAGGCGAGACGGACCAACGGCACCCAGTTTGGTCGTCAGTGACTTCATTTCCCGCTGCCAAGTCAACTTCTGTCCACCTCGAGCCTTGCGCCATCCTACACCTGGTAGACTGAACAAGGCCCTCCTAGGTAAGCGGTGATCAGGCATGCGTAGCACGTGCCCGAGACAACGCAAGTTATTCAGTGATATCTGTTGTTCTAGGGTGCTAGCATGATTATCCCTACCTAGTACTCGCCTACGCACCATTATTACTTATTACGATAGCGTATCCTCGTTTAAGTCGAATGAAATTCATGACAATGGTAAGTTTTTGGATAAAGAGAATAGTACTTATTTAGTTTGTCCAATAACTGTAGCATTTCAGATCTAACCGAGCAGTTCCTTTCCTGTGGACAAATGATCCACCTAAAAGGAACCTGGACTAGGTTGAGTTGGCTTTTGGCAATCTGCATTGCAAACTTGGGAAAGTCGCAGAGGATTTTACCGATCATCGAATGTGCGACGGATGGCCAAATATTTGTAACTTCATGTGAAACCTGAGTGACCATTTCTTTTTGAATGTGGAACAATGCTAAGGAGAGATACATTTTGTGCTGCTTTTGATTTCACACAAAAGCACACATCTTTTATAAGCCAATCTATCTATAATTTTTATCAACTTTACCATTCATTATGTAGTAACCTGAAGTGTATTAGTGGAAAACGAAAACCGATCGGCTGGCATTTCGGTTAGCACCATAGTAACGTACTAAACAATCTTTACAGTTCCCAAAACGGAAGTGTGTTAGTATGTTAACAAGTCTGGAATGTTCCTGAAAACGCAGTTATCCGACTTAATCTATTCTCGAAACTGCTCCGAAGCTACATCATTTGATTGGACTGAAAAATGAACATCAGGGGAGCGGATGCATGGATATGAGACACGAAGACATGTTCTATTCGTCGGTTCACTTTCAATGTCCCCATCATACTAGCTCTCTGAGTGCGTACTTACTGCAGTTTGGTCACAAACCGTCGGATGGTATACCCTTAAACTTCATCAACTGTCTGCACGATATCCTACAAAGATGCAAGCAACTGTCTATCCACTCAACTGCGCAGTTAGATCTACATCCCATGGCGAATGCAACCTTATTTTCCACTGACCTTCATATACGAAGATATGCGCGTGTTCTCCGAGCTGGCTGATTTGGCTACAAACGTTTCATCGTCAGGCTACACGACATCATCAGTGCGATTTATGCGGGCCACTTACAGATCCAAGTGATTATTGATCACTTGATGCGAACGGCAGGAGTCGATTGGTCCACGTGAGCTGACCATGTAGTCAGCTCTTGCGTACTGTTGGCTAGATTCCGCCTCAATGAGGTTCCTCTGTCCTGTGGATCTGGGGCGAAGTATTGTTTTGACCCTCAGTGCTCCACAGGTAGTATCTAAATCTAAGTGTCTGTTGGTTGAGTTCTTCCCCGAGTACCAAGCCTCGATGAACTCGCGTGCTTCTCGACTTTTTGCCCTGCCTAAGATTTTGACATTCTCCAAATCAAATTGATGATTCTCGGCGTCCATATGTACCGACATCAGGGAGTTCTGGTCATGTCGGCGGATGGCTAGGCTATGCTCAGTTAGCCTAGTGCCGAGCTTTCTTCCTGCCTGGCTCACATAGTACTTGTTACAATTTTTGCAGTGGATTTTGTAAATCACACTACCTGTTTCCTTTTTGCCAAGCCGGTCCTTACCATTGAAGAGCTTGTCTTTGCTAGTTTCTGTCGGCTTGTGATCAACTCTGATTCTGAAAGGTAATAGCAGTCTGGCAGCCATCTCAGGGACACCGTTGATGTATGGTTGAGTGATTGTCATCCTAAAGCGCCCGAAAGTGGAAGAAACACACCAGCTAATAAACAACAAGTTTGCTGGTATCAGTTTCACTAAAGAAGAAGAGAGCAACGGTCAGCTACCATTCTTGAATGTGTTAGTAAAAGGACATGTTGTTGGACAACTGGAGACAACAGTTGATCGGAAAGCGACGCATACAGGCCAAATCCTGAATTATCGCAGCAATCATCCAACAGTCTACAAGCGCAGCTGTTTAACAACTCCATTTAAAAGAGCGCAGACCCATTGCAGCACCCCGCAGCTGAGGAAAGCGGAAGAAGATTATCTGTTCGAAATGTTTACACGGAACGGGTATTCCAGGAATTTTATTCTGCCTTCTTTAACATCAATAAAGCGACCGACGCATGAACAAACATAAGAAACGGATAAAAGGACAATCACCTACCATACATCAACGGTGTCCCTGAGATAGCTGCCAGACTGCTATTACCTTTCAGAATCAGAGTTGATCACAAGCCGACAGAAACTAGCAAAGACAAGCTCTTCAATGGTAAGGACCGGCTTGGCAAAAAGGAAACAGGTAGTGTGATTTACAAAATCCACTGCAAAAATTGTAACAAGTACTATGTGAGCCAGGCAGGAAGAAAGCTCGGCACTAGGCTAACTGAGCATAGCCTAGCCATCCGCCGACATGACCAGAACTCCCTGATGTCGGTACATATGGACGCCGAGAATCATCAATTTGATTTGGAGAATGTCAAAATCTTAGGCAGGGCAAAAAGTCGAGAAGCACGCGAGTTCATCGAGGCTTGGTACTCGGGAAGAACTCAACCAACAGACACTTAGATCTAGATACTACCTGTGAAGCACTGAGGGTCAAAACAATACTCCGCCCCAGATCCACAGGACAGAGGAACCTCATTGAGGCGGAATCTAGCCAACAGTACGCAAGAGCTGACTACATGGTCAGCTCACGTGGACCAATCGACTCCTGCCGTTCGCATCAAGTGATCAATAATCACTTGGATCTGTAAGTGGCCCGCATAAATCGCACTGATGATGTCGTCTAGCCTGACGATGAAACGTTTGTAGCCAAATCAGCCAGCTCGGAGAACACTTGTATACCCTCATCCGCATCCCGAGCTACAAATATTCTCACGGATTTCCAATGACCAAATAGTCACATAGCTTTGTGTGCAGCTCTCCAAGAATAATTTCATTGCAGTTCTGCTCAGAATACCGATGCTAGTCATTTTGCTGTCAAATCATTTTAATTAACGCATGCTTCACTGCTCGTCGCTTACAGGTACACTATAGGGAATGAGATCAGATGCATTAAAGAAGGTTATAAATTCGGCAGCTAGAGATGCCGGTGAGGTTAAAGTGAACTTCGACGTTCCACGTGACGTCTGGTGGCTAACTCCCATAACCCTTTTATGAATCGTAGATTAAAATATATGAACCTACACATAACATTTGACACAGTAATTCGAAACTCACCGGTCCTTGTGGGGTTCACCTGCATTGGAGATGCTGCAAAACACCGGCGCTTCTCTTCTCCTGGATGACTGGACTGAGTATCAGCATTCTGCAACACAGAATTCCACCAAGAGTTGGCACAGTCCTTCTCGGCGTAGATCGAGTTCGCTTTAGTGGGTGGGTTTGGTCCCGTCGTTTCCACCGTGGGCCAACTAAAAGGCGGCTGCACTGCGGTGTGGTCGTGAAGATCGAACACGACGGCAGCGTTTGATTCGTAAGCTTCATTGGTGTAATCCGTATACGAGGCCGTTGGAGACTCGCTGCACAACAGCGAGTCGACAGGATTTTGTGGCGTTCGACTCTGCGATTCTGTTTGCAGTCGTTGAGTGTCCACTGAACAAGGGTACGGGTGAATGCTGGAAACAGACATTGTAATCACCTTTTGTGGTTTTGCGTGGCGGCCGAACAAATTGGATAATTAGAGTGGCAGAACAATGATAATTATTTTAACCAACTTAGTGAGTCCTTGATTACAGGTTTCCAGCGTGGTGGGTGTCTTTTGTGTGCAAAGTTTGGGGTTTGTCTGGCGATACTATCCGTGTTCGCATCGCAGCACTTTAGGCAGTCCGCTGCATATTCTGTCCAACATTGTCCACCAACGCGTCTGTGCAGAGAACTTATTCATGCGCACACACCTTCGCATCTATCCAATCAGATGGAGAGTTCCGGGCATAGGGTATGAACGACGTAAATATTTGTCTTCCTTGTGAGGCGGTGAGGAGAACACCGCATCCACTTGACGAATAAAACATGGTTTTATTCCCCGCCTGGTGCGTGGGCTGGGCAGAGCAAATGGTAGTGAGGTCAGAGATTGGGTAAGTTACGCGGCAGGGGCACTGTGGATTCATAACGAAGTAGCAACGAAGTTTCAGTGACCCAACTCAGCGCACTGGATGCAAGACCGTCGAAAGGAAGGGAGCAAGCGTAGTCACCAAACAATATGAAATTCTGACGTCGGCGGGGATCAGGTGATTACTAGTTTGCATTAAAATAGTAAGCTAAAATGCTAGTTTCAGCACTGCTTGACCATCCTTGATTATCGGCCCCATGGTTCGCGGTTAGTATGGTGACCAGCTTCCCGTTTTCCCGGAATTCTGAGAAGTGGGTGTCGACATCATGCCCTTTCGTGTAAACGAATTCTGAATACACGGAAAGTAGCTAGGACTTTCACCTTGCATTTGGCTCATTTATTTCTTTACTGATCCGTTTTCAGTCCATGCAGTCGACCTTTACTGCGGACTAACCACCAAATCATGTATTTACATTAGCCTACACACTGATGCTTCCATAGCAAAAGAAGCTCTTTTGCATCCTATTGTATGCTTTTAAACATACACCTCAACGGAACATTAAGTAAGTACTGACTGGCCCGTGGCTCCTTACAACCACAATGGGTAATCAGCCATTCCAAAGAGTAGAAGACGTTGAGCAAGTTGCCGAGAGAATTGCAAGCAGCGGTTTTAAGCTCCCCATTTCGCAAAACTTTAATTACAAAGAGCACATGAAAAATGGTAACCCACATTACCAGCTGAACGCTACCCCAAGCCCCTTCAAATTAGTGGTTTGGATAATCAGCATTGACCTCACTCAAGTTGGAATTCCAGTACACTTGAGTGATCCTACTGAATCGACTATCACTGTGGTGCTTTCTATCAGCAATAGACATAAGAACTTTGGCCAACAAATGAAGCGGTAATAACAGCGGAGAGACCCACGCCAGCACTGCAATAATGCAACTTGTAAGTCAGCCATGACTCAAACTATCCCATGCACAATTTCATTCGGCGAAATTAAGCATAATTAAGATTAGCCATCATATTATTGAAACCTGTACTTTGTAGGTAAACATGTGGCAGTTGTCGGCCTTTAACCGCAAATAACTTCCCTGGCCATTTGTAAGTCGTAGGGGTAGTTTGGGTAGTTTGTGAAGACTCGTCGCGGCTAGATTCAGGCAGACAGCCACCACACACCCAGGAAAACACTAGATAAGCGTTTCTTCATGTTGGGTGTCGTCAGTAGCGCGTACCCACCGAATCCAGCCGGATTCGAAGCCATGACCTTACTCTTGCTAGGCAGCGACTTTTGCCACTGAGCCATGGGCGACGGCGTCGGACCGTCATGACTGATATTTAACTGCGATATAGCGTGGCTCATCTTCCATTGTCATGCATGTTGTGAACATGCAGAGAACCGAGATGTCCCCCAGAGCCACAACTTCTTTTGCAAACCGTCACCAGGTTTTCTAGAAAATGAATTAACCCCGAAAACTGTGGCGGGATTCGGTGTTGCTGTCTCTCATCACTGCACACCACAACCCGTGTCGCCTTTATTGCGACTCATCAGGATGAAACAGCCTGATCTGGCAGTGGAATTCGACATATAGAGATTGGCGACTCTCACCATGAAACTAGGCTACTGAGCTCCTAGCAATCAAGTAAATCCGTAATTTGTTGTCAGTAAATACCGTTGAACTAAACATGGTCAGCGTTTGGATGAAACTACATTAACACTGGGAGTCCCAAGCATTTGGTGAGCTCATCCAAGTCACAGACCATCTGCATATATGTGCGTGTGTTAAGGATTATTCTCCCGGTCATTTCATCTCAGTAGCCTCCAATTAAGACAGCTAAGTACGCTTCCAGAATAGCACCAGACAAACATCGCTTTATGGTTGCATGCGTTAGTAATGCAAATCCTCAGGGACCAACAAGATGTGAGATAATGGCCTCTCGACACAAGCGGCTTGGAACTCTAACAAGCAGCTCATGGCCCTAGGAAGCGGAAGACAGCGAAGGACTGCCATAGCTAACACACTAACCATGATTTAGCGTGGCTCATCTTCCACTACCTTCTAAGTTACGATCTTTAGTGATAACAGAGCTGGCCCCAGTAAGCACAGCTTTTCCCGCAACTGCAGCTATGTACTGCATATCCCTTAGAAATGGTTTATTTTTCGGCGAAATATGTGGGCAAGTACCGATTTTGATTCCTTTGTCTCCTTTAGTTGGCACACAAGCCGTTAGATAGGAAAGAATGTTACATTACTTTTCGTGTGCCATCATTCAGATGACAAGGATACAGCTAGCCAGTCACGAAGGGTGACCGTACTGTAGTTAGGTTCAATCGAAAGATCGGATGATAACCCGCTCATTTGCCGCTTAGAGAGCAAGAGTTAGGCGGCAAAATTCTGCAAAGATCCCTACGCTTGATATGCTACAGGCAGTTTTTGAACTCCTACCATCAAAGCTCCAGCAACGGACAAACACATATGCAAATGTAACTCGTTTATCGGCAACTCCTGGCGATTGGTCAGATGAAACACGAAAGCCGGCAAGTGCATTCGAAGCTTACTTTCTCCTCGGTTCACTAGGTGACACTGCATTAGGCGATTATCATCAAGCACGTTAAAATACTACATCTTTTTGACTGTCAGTGAAATATCAGTATTTATGCTCCATTTAATGGCTGGAACATTAACACTGGAGGATTTATCATAAGAGGTCTGTTCAAAGCTACAGGTATTGGTACCCTCAGCACTTTGTCAATGCAGAGAAAAGACAGAGGTTGCGATATGTCAACATTTCGGTTGATCTTTTCAGTCGCAAACGCAATGCAAGCAGAAACATATAAAGGATTATATAGATGGAAAAATAAGCAGCACCAATCAGAATGTCACCGTCAAGAACAAGGCAATCGAATTGATTGCCTCAAGCGTTTCTGTGCTCAATGCACAGGTTGATGCGTTTTAATAAGGAAAGCCACCCCAATTTGAAACACTTAGTTTTCTTTAGTAATTTGAAGAGCGCAGTAAGAAGACGAAGACTGGCAGATGTACGCATTTCCTATTGCCTCATCAGTGCCTTTAACAAGAACTCGCAATAATATTTATTCAGTGAAGGATGCGACCAAACATACATGCAAACAAACAAACAGACGAACACAGGATAAGGGTTATCACCCCTATCCCCAGGGCAGTCTAATGCTGACGGATAATTGTTGCTGAACACAAAGCAGCGGCTTAATCCGGTTAATTGCAATCGCCTCTGCGAAACGGAGGGTGCGAGAATTGATGTGCTGTAATAGGATTGCGAACGCCGAAGTGACCTCCACTCGATGACCTGTGGCCGATCGAAGAGGCTGGTGGCTTACGCTGACAAGCATATTGACTCTGGCCAGTTTCCCACGCAGCCGAACGTTGAACCCACGTAGGTACATGCTCCTTCATTCGGGAGCTCAATGTTCTATCGGTCATGCCTATGTAACTGGCGCCGCAGTCAAAAATGAATTGGTAAACGCAATGCTACCCATATTACCAACATTATAGGATTGTTGTTATGCAATAAGAATTTGAACGCGATCTCAGAGTTCACGTGATGACGCGTTGCCATGTGGGGCTTGGTGACAGACGATACGGAACTCCCATTAGTTCAGATCCGTCCCGTTTAATTGCGTCATCACTCGTCCCAACCACTTTGGCAAAGGTTCAGCCATCAAAGCGACAAGAGCACAGCCCACGCAGGTGGGCGATTAAGCGGTGGGATGACCCGGCAATGTGTAATTAGACGGTGAAAATTTAGCATATTTATGAGCAAAGAATTTGTATTTTGAAAAACTGGGCACTAAAGCAGTGTGGACTATAAACCGGGTGGGCAATAAGGCGGATTCGACTGTACTACATGATGCTATCATGAACACATACAGAGTTTGTAGCATAATAGTCTGATATATTATAATACTGCTACCAGACTGTTGGTAAAGTACGCTGACGTCAGTAGTAAACCAAATGAAGCCTAGTAAGAAAGGTGGAGAATTCAAGCTAATTTTGTCTTCATTGAAAATAGTTTGAGTTACAGTTGTGTAATAATATTATTATTATCTTAACTATTTCATCTGTCAAGTTACACCACAGCACGCTCATGCCTAGAAAGAGCCTTGATGCCACGGACTACTTTTGCTACATTTGTGAAAAGTGACATTATCAAGCCAGAATAAGAGTATCACTGCCCAAGTGAAGAAGACTAGCCATTCTTAGTTCAAGTGTAAGGTCGATATCCAGGCAAGATCGGGCTACGCATATATGCTGGATAACATGGTGTCTCAAGCCCAGCTTAACGTTGCATACATCATGCTGCTTCATTACAGTCGGGCCATATCAACTTGCACTTAAACGAAATCTTAACCATGATAAAAAGCAACCTCGTTTATTTGATTTGCTCAGATGTGTCTTTCTGCGGCATTTTCCGTGTCAGTTTTGCGTGCTTAGTTTCCTTCAAATACTGTGTTGCCTGTCAGATATCGCCGATGTGGATGCGCTGGAGGTGAATGTTGACAAAATGCCTATCAACCGAAATACCGCCTCCTTGCTTATGCTGCCCCCATGAGACAGTTGCTCGTTGCTTGGGGAAACCGGGTGCACAGACTTCTTGGTCGTGCTAGACTCAAAGACTCGTTCCATCTAATGTGGAGCGGGCAATGACCTAATCATCACCTTGTGCACGTCTGATACGCATAACTCCCTAGTTGGATAAACAGGAATGATGCTACTGTGGATGTTTAAGGAGTGTGGGCCGGCTGCGCTGATGAAAACTGGCGCCCA